ATATATCTATATATCTAGATATATCTATATATCTAGATATATCTATATATCTAGATATATCTATATATATATCTATATATATCTAGATATATCTATATATCTAGATATATCTAGATATATCTATATATCTAGATATATCTATATATCTATATATATCTAGATATATATATATATATATCAACATGAAATACAGCAAGTTAGTGCTTAATGTAAGAGAACATTGTTATTTAATAATTTGACGTCCGCAGCTGTTTGCACTTGTAAACATCATGTCATGATTATAGCAGTTGAATTGGATGAAGCCTACATTCAAGATAAAAACATAATATCAAGGTGAATGTCATTTAAGGAATGCAGTTAGAACAGCACCTTACGAGGCGCTACATAAACTGTGAATGGTAGAGAGTTTGATCACATATCTGATCATCTTAAATAGGTATAATTTATGAATACAAAAGGAACAGCTGCATTCGTAGAGTCCTGCCATGGTTTCAGATTATTCCAGCTGCATGTCACGCCTCTTTTATTTGTCACGGGTGCCGAAAAGCTTTTTATTTATTTATTTTTAATATCTTTAAATATGTGATCTGGGGCCAACTACCTCCTTGGGGTGAAATTACAATGCTCATGCTAGTATAGGCAGATACAAGTACCAAACCACCTGTTAAAAGGCATCAGAATACAGGAAATGACATATAGACCCCTGTTAGTTTGTCCCACCCACATTTTCAGTGCAGCCTATGTTCACAGTGTGTTGCCACAGAGATATGTATTCCAGTCTGAGGCAAATTCATTTTGTGATCACAATTGACATATTGTACTTAAAAACTCAACCTTTTGTGCTTAATAATGCCTGTTTTTCTCCCTTTGGTGTGCCGACATTAAGGAGTGAGGTGAATTTTGTGGGTCACAACGATGAAGATTACACAGAAAATGAGATCTGCACCGTAACCTCAGCAAGAGTCAACTCAGAGGGAGTAAAGTCTGCATCCACAACTGGATTTCATGAAACTGAAGGTCTGTAGAACAACTATTAGTTGTAGTTTATTCACATTTTGATCTTATCCGTCTGTGTGAAAAATGCACGCATAAACAAGGTGGCTTTTCGATTTAAATGTGTAATTCTTGCAAACTGAAACTATGCCTGTTTTTTTGTTTTTTTTGTGAGGGAAAAGGTGGGAGACAGTTTGCATATAAGCTGAGGAATGCTACATTGCACCAGTGTAGATGACCTGACCTGCCATCAGTAGTGGGAGAAGTATTTCGATAATTTAAAGTGAAAGTAGCGATGCTGCAATCTAAAAATGTCATGCATTTAAAGTTTTACTAAAAGTACAAAAGTATTGATAACAAAATATACTTGAAGTGTCAAAAGTAAACGTAGTCATTAAGCAGAAGAATGGCCTCTGTCAGGGTTCATCGTTATGTCTTTTGATCAATATTGTTGATCAATATTGTTGATGCATTGACATGAGCATACATTAATGTTGCACAGTGTAGATATCATTTTATTAGTTTGATATACTTTTTTGTAGTTTAATCTGTAACTGCAACATTTTAATGTAATGTTTGTTAAATTTCAATTTGAAAAGTAACTCTAGCTTCCATTTAAATTGTTGGGGAATAGAAGTACAACGTAGCATTAAACGAAAAATACTTAAGAAAAGAACAAATACTTCAAAGATGTACTTTTTTTATACACAGTGTGCTGATCGGAGGCCTGTTAGTTGCAACACATTCACGTGGTGTTTAATCAGCTTCTGTTGCTCTTAAAGAGACAGTTCAAAGCTCCTAGCAAAAGTATTTTTTTTTTTTAAATCTATATTTTAAAATATTACTCATTTATTATGTTGTGCTTGTTGTGATTCTTCAGCAATGCTCACATTTCTTTACAGTGAAATTGCAGTGACTGTCTTGTCCCCTTTTTTTTACAGAAACCTTCACAGTAGACGATGCGCTTGAGGCCTTCGGCTTTGGAAAGTTCCAGTGGAAAATGTCTGTGCTCACCGGACTGTCATGGGTAAGAATCCTAAAACACGCAGAAAAGTCCTCACTCTGACCTCCAGATGCTGAATGTCATGTATAGCTCTCCACCTCTCTGAGAGCAGATAGGAGACGCCATGGAGATGATGATCCTCAGCATCTTGGGCCCCCATCTGCACTGTGAGTGGAGGCTGCCAAGCTATCAGGTGGCTCTCATAACATCGGTAAAGTCCCTTTTTTAAGTACTGTGTTCTCAGAAAGTGTTATTCTACAGCAAGTTAATTCTGAAATGTGTGAAAATCTCTCTCAAGATCTTCTTTTGTTGTTTTTATTGTCTCAGGTGGTGTTTCTAGGAATGGGGATCGGTTCACCTGTAGTTGGGAGTGTGTCTGACATCTACGGCAGAAAAGCAGTAAGTGTTATATTTGGGTTTTTAATAATTTAGGTATTTTTTGTACATGATTTGATGTTTAACTTCTGTGTTTGTCTCTGTGGTGAACAGGGTCTGATGCTTTGTATGTGCTGGGCTCTGTTCTACGGCCTGTTGAGTGCCTTTGCTCCGGTGTACGGCTGGCTCTTGGTCCTGCGGGGCCTCGTAGGCTGCGGTCTCGGAGGAGCTCCTCAGTCGTAAGTTCAGCTGCTTCCTCTGCTCGTGAAGTCTGCACTGAACAGACCTGCACATTTCAATAGCCATGAAACGATTTGCAATAAATGTTGGGTCTCTTTTAAGGGTGACACTGTACTCAGAATTCCTTCCAGAGAAGTCGAGAGGCATCTGTGTCATGCTGATTTCGGTACTGTGGTGGTTCTGTTATCTCTGCATGACTTTAACTGTATTCCAGTGTTGAATCTTCGGTCTGATCAAGCCCACTGCTTATTGATTCCCTCCTGATTGATGTTTTTTTTTGTGCATCAGGCATTCTGGGCACTTGGCTCCGTGTTCGCGGTCCTCCTGGCATTGTTGACGATGCCCACTCTCGGCTGGAGGTGGCTGCTCGGCTTGTCTACCATACCAATGGCAATCTTTCTTTGCTTCTCCTTCGTAAGTATGTTGGTTATAAAATAAAACCAGCCGAGAATCAAGCTCCAACGGAACTTTTCTATGTTGCACAGTGGCTACCTGAGAGTGCTCGTTTTAATGTGCTGAGCGGAAAAACGGAGAAGGCCATGGCAACTTTAGCACGCATCGCCAAAGAGAATGGCAAGGCCATGCCTCAAGGAAAGCTTATCGCCAATAAACAGGTGAGGTTCAAGATAAAAAGGTTTTTGTATTTCTTTCAGATAAAGGACACAATTGTCCAATACAATGCTTAATTGTTGATATTAATAAATAAGCCTTTAATTATTCTTATTTCACAGAATGGCCATGGACGGATCAAAGCTCTCTTCTCTCCCTGGTATTGGAGGACTACTCTTCTTCTGTGGTTTATATGGTTTGCTTAAATAACACATTTTCTCCTCTCTGTCAACTTTCCTTAATCTGGTATTTTGATCTAAGGTGATTATATAATCAAGGCCGGATTACCAAGTAGTGGTTGGTACCCAGGGCAGAGGAAAGATAGTGCTGAGATTGCCTTGTGTAGTCTGCTGTGTGCACTTTATATGATGGGAAATTAAAGGCGTGTCTACACACACAATGCACAGAGAGTGGGAGCAACAGATTTTAAATGATTTCTTACCCCAATGTCCTCTGGTAGGTTAATCCAGCCATGTGTTTTAATGCTTTGTGTTCAACTACGTGTGCTTAGAAGGCTGCATTGTGTTTTTATCCAAAGGTTTGTAAACACCTTCTCCTACTACGGGATAGTCCTGTTGACGACTGAGTTGTTCCAAGCTGGACCTTCATGCGAGAGTGAGTATCGGCACCCTGTGGACCAGATTTTAACTTTTGTCATAATGCGTCTTAAATTGGAACAAACTCCGAAAAACAAAGCTATCCTTCCTTCTTCATAGCGACGCAAGGGGCCAAGATTGAACCAAGCTGTAGTCTGGAATGCAAATATTTGACATCAGCCGACTACAAAGACCTTTTATGGACAACCTTAGCTGAATTCCCAGGTGAAAGGCTCCTTATTAGCAGTTTCTCAGAGCTGTGGTATGTAATTAAAACTTTCAGGTGAAGACCTTCATGATGCCAAGAACAGAGTTGAGCCCATGTACAGAGGTTCCTCCATATTTCTTCTTCATCTGTTGAATTGTAATTAATTCACACTGTCTTGACTGCCACATTTAAAAGATGATTTCCATGTTTGTTTCAGGTATTTTAGTTATCCTTCTGGCAATTGACCGTATTGGCAGGAAGAAGAGCATGGCCCTGTGTTTCTTTGTGTTTTCTTTGAGCATTCTGCCCATATACGCCTGTATTGGGAGGTAAGTTTGTGTCTCTGTGTTGTTGTGTCACATTGGAACAGCAGCAATATATTAAAACCTCAATCCTAACTGTTTGTCTTTCTGTCCATGCAGGACAGCTGTCACAATCTGCCTCTTTATAGGCAGAGCCTTCATCTCTGGAGGATTCCAAGTTGCTTTTGTTTACACACCAGAGGTATGTCTTTTACCAAGTTAACATTTGGTTTTAGATCATTTGAATTAGGGCTGCCCCCTTTTAGTTGATTAGTCAACTAATTTCTTTAGGAAATCCATCTTTTTTTCAATGCTTCTTTCATGCTGAATGACTTTTTGTGTGATTTCTTTGTGGCGAAATTTTATTCTAAAGATCTGTCGATTTAAAGCAACTAATGGATTAGTTGACTAGTCGGTTGGTCGGTTTTTTTTCTTTGGTTGAGCACCGCCCTAATATGAACTGGACAAAATGCTCTCTCCTCTCATTAGGTGTTCCCTACAGAAAACAGAGCATTAGCAATGGGGATTTCAAATATGATGAGCAAGGTGGGGGCCCTGATGACCCCCTTTGTGGTGCAGGTATGCAGAAGTTCCAGCACCATTCTGATATCAGACTCTTTTTAGGCTGTTTCTCTGCCTGGCTCCTCACATTTTGGCTTTTGGTTCTAGGTGTTGCTCAGGACATCAGTGTATGGCACCCTTTCGTTGTACTGCGGCTTTAGTCTGCTGGGTGGCATCGCAGCCTTGATGCTGCCCATTGAGACGTTGGGCAGGGGTCTGCAGGAGTCCAGTCTTTATGAGGGGGACGGAGAGCAGACGACCACCACAACCACCAGCGAGTCAAATGATACAAAAGCAGGAGAACCAGAGGTCATTCAGGAAGAGTGAAACCATTTAAAAGAAAGGATTCTTTGTCTACTCCAAAGCTGCTGCAGATGCCACAGTTGTCTGTTTAACTTTGTCCCGTTGTTCTTCACCCATCATCGCTCCCAGGATTCAAACTAATCTCATTACAGGCAGGGAGTGATAATTGAGGGCAGGCCTACTTCCCATGTCTAATGAGAGCGGAAGCACACTTGGACCCGGTTTGTTTACCCTCTCTACATTTGGGCCATGAAGAGCAACAGAGAGGTATATGGACAATGGTGATTCACTGTGCTCTGCTTAGAGCTACACATTTTTAAGACGTGCCCTAACATTTTGTATAATAAATGACTTCTTGTATTTATTTATAAGCCTGCCTTTTTGCTAATTAAAGATGTTCAATATTCCTTGGACTCTGTTTTATTTTGTCAGTGAAGAAAACATGCATGGTTCTATTAATCCATAAGTGAATCAGCAGAAAACTAATCTGCAATTATGATAAAATCCAGACATTATTGTCAAATGTAAGAATTCGTCCGTTTCCTTGTTTACACATTATAGTAAATGGTTTTCAATTTGGGACTTTTGGTCAAACAAAACGCATTTGGTGACATCACATCTGACTCAAGGAGATCGTGACGGTCACTTTTTTTGACTGTTTACTGATGTAGACCAAACAATGTAACGAGCAGATGAATCGATCATGAAAATACTCGCTGCTTGGTGCCCTCCTTCAGGTCAACCTCACTGCGTTTCATAACACGAGCAGAATATTATTTCATCATTTGTATTTGGGAGTTCCTAGTCTGGCCAGTCACCTTGACAACATTGGCCCAATGACAGCGCGCACGCGAACTAGGCCAGCCAATCACAGGCGCCCGGCGAAGCTGCATGTCATTTCTGCTCCGCTTGCAACCTGCACCGTGTCTTGTTTGTCTGTCTGCGCAGCAGTGATGAAACCGCGGGGTCCGCTGCTGGCTCGGTACAAACGGCGGAAATCTCTCATGACTTCCCGCTCATGAGGTCTCCGGTAACCGCAGAGGACGCACGGAGCAGGACCGAACGGGAGCACCGCCGGGGCTCTGGAGTGTGGAGGTGCTGCTGGATGAGAGTCTGACTAGGCATTTTCTCCCCGGTGACAGAGACAATCTCAGCGGCGCATCTTCCCACGTCCTCCTCCCCACCCCTCCCTTCTCCTCTCCTCTTCCTCCTCCTCCGCTGCCCTCCAAGGCTGCAGCCCACCGACCATGGCCCTGGTGACTCTGCAGCGCTCTCCCACCCCCAGTGCAGCATCCTCGGCCAGCACGACGAACAGCAGTGCGGGGGAGGTAAGTGGAAAAGCCGGGGCTCGGTCTTTGTGTACGAGGAAACGCCGAGAAGGCGCCTGCAGGAGAGCCTCTATCAACCCAGGCGGTGTGGTGTTCAATATCCCACAGGAAGGGTTAGCCATCCTTTCGTCATTGCTGTGTGTGTGTGTGTGTGTGTGTGTGTGTGTGTGTGTGTGTGTGTGTTACAAACTTGATTTATTGTTGCATTGTTTGCAGCAGAGAGTTGTTTGTGGCTACTGTGGCAGCGGATTTGTAAACAAAATCCTGCAGCGGGGGAGGGGGAGGCTGCTGGGTTTAGCTGTCAGAACAAAGTGGTCATTTTGCTGCTGCACAAACAGTTGCTGCGTTGCACTCAGGTTGTTCTCCCTCCTTGTTATTGGCCTTTTTATGTAGTAATGCAGCCCCAATGTTGGGGAGGAGGCTTTAAAGGGGAATGACGATCCATTATGATCAGTGTGTGTGTGCCCCAGGACACTTTAGTCAAGTGTCTGTGAAGTTGCAAAAAAAAAAAAAGAGAAGCACTTAATGAGTGCTGCCACTGAGGTGGTACAATCAAGTGATGTTAGATGTATGCAACACCCCACGCAAACATCTTACTAACCTGTATTCAGTGGGGTTTTTTGTCACAATTCAAAAAGTAAGTATGTCATTTTCTTCCAGCTCCTGACAAACAAGAAGTAACATTGACTCTGAGGAGTTTGAGGCTGTGAATCAGACGTTGAATCCCATATGGAACACCTAATCTTAGCGGCAAACACGTTCAAATGTGGAGCGGTGCCAGATTTGAAATCATAACACCAGGGTTAGTGCTCCAGTTTTCTAGCTTTTAGGAGAGTGGATTATGTGCTCTTGGTAGGCTGACTGAGCCGAGACACAAAAACAAGCGGGGACATTCTTCCTCTGATGAAGAGTTGGGTTTTTAACCTCACTTTCTGCATTACGGCTCACTATTCCGCAAGAGTCAGGCAGCAGGAAGGAGAAGTGGATGGGTGTGATGTTTGAAGGCCTCCTAACGATTCTACTGTTGTCTCTATAGCAGATGAGACCACAACACTGACAGGACAGGACCAGCAGTAGGCGCTGGCATGCTTCATTCCTATTGCACGGTCCTCAACATCCATTTGTGCTACTGTACCACCTCACACCTTTAAAGATTTAAAATCATTAATGTACCAAGGTCCAGTCCGTTCCCGCCCATGTGGCTCTGCAGCTCGGGTCTCTCACTTAAATACAGCGAACAAATGATGCATCATACTCGCAACGAATGTCTGCCTCCAGGTGACCCAAACAACAGTTCCATGTGCTCGGTGCAGTAGTCTCTGTTCACTAATCCGGTCTGGAACAACTCTCCAGTTCTGCTGCATACTAGATTCACAACGATGGCTGTTTTTTAAGAAGAAAATCTAAATCCTCTCCTCAGTGTTTCCTCGACATTCATTTGACACTGCCGTTACACGTCGTCGTGCTGTTGCCGTCTTTAAATCCTCTGTTTTTGTCTTTCAGGATTGTGGAAGTGATGATGAGCGGAAAAATAATCAGAGGTAAGGATCTCTACCGTTTAACAAGTCATGTGTTGGAAGTTCTTGCAGGATTTCAAACACATCTACAAAGAGATGTAAACTTATTGTGCTTCTGATTTGTGGAATGTATTTTTTGTTTGTTTTGTCTTTGTGGTCAGTGGGCCTTCTGACCCTGCATGAGCACCAAGGGGAGATGCCAGCAGACGGGGGTGTGTCGAGCTGTAATTTTCAGTCTACGATTGTATTTGAGGCGGTAGAATCATGACAAGTATGACTGAAAACAACAGATTTAAACACGTCATCTTAACAACACAGTTATCTCTCCTATTTGAACATTTCAGGCTCAAACAGTTAAAGCTCCAATCCATATTTACTTGGAAACCTGGAAGTAAACGGTACAGATACATGTGCTGAGTTAATAAAAGGATGACATCTGTGTGTGTGTGTGTGTGTGTGTGTGTGTGTGTGTGTGTGTGTGTGTGTGTGTGTCTCATCATGGTAAAATGAAGTCTTTAAGACAACCTACTGTAGCAGGAACTACTGCAGAAGCGGTTTTCAGTACTTTGCCAGGTGTTTATCTTTCTGTCTGTGGACAGATTTTGTCAGCGTTATAGCGTCACAACTGTGCAAGATGCTGTCATGAGGGAAGGTGTAATTAGTCCCCCACTTTACGCCCGAATTGGTGTCACGGCTGTTGTGATGGTCTCTAGTTTGGTCATGTTTCTACCAAATGCATGTTGCACAATTGACATAATGGATGTAATGGTTCTTTAACTGGTAGAAGGGTTTAAACAACACACAAATTGGGAAAGACGGTCACACGTCAAATGACCAACTGTATGGAATGAATCGTCAAAGCAGCGTGATGGTGATTATTAAGAGCTACTCTGACAGGCGACGAGCTGCTTGTCTTGTCCTCGGTCCTGAAGATACAGGAGCATCAGTGTGTTTTCTGTAATGGCCCTCAGCTTCTCGCTGTTCAGGAGGAAAAACCTGCTGGAAGTACAGTTGATTTAAAAATGTTTCCTCAGTTACATAACAGAGCACTTTTTGTTCCTGCTCGTCCACAAAGCTTTTCTTTAATCAACCCAACGTCACAGAAGTCCAAATCTGTGTCAGTGAAGCTTTGGCACAGATTCTGTCTTTGTACTCGCTGTGTGTGTCTGTGTGGGTTTCATTCGAAACAGTCATGTCATGCCTCGTCTGGAGTGTCTACATGAGTAACCCGTTTCTGTGGCTCAGCAATTCATCAGCGCAGAGTCTTCATTTAGAATTCTGCATGACAGACTTCAGATTGACGCCAAGTAACGTTGCCAGTGCTTTGTAGCGCTTGCATGAATGATGGTATTGTGGCGTAGGGTGTTGCGTAGGGAGAGCTGATTGCCGAAGCGCGTGCTGTGAAGAGGAGATAGTGAACAGAGACTTGAGAAGGACAGGGCAGCGCAGACGAGGAGACGAGGACCGAGAAAGCTGTGGGAGGCAAAAAGAGGAAGGACTTGCTAGACCAGGACCACGGGGAGAGAAGTTAAACTGCTAGTTTCTGAGGCTGCCGTCTCCTCCCAACAGGAATACGCAGGTGTAGACGATAGATGAGAGGATGTTAGTAAGAGGAGACTAGATTTGATTTATTTTTTTTCCCTGAGGAGAATAGATGGTTCACTAGCTGCGAGCAGGATGCATCTGGTTGTGAAACCGCCACACAAAGCCATGCTCACCGTGCTGCCTCACTTTGTGGAGAAAGCTGCTCTGACTCGGAGGGAGATCTGTCGCATGTAAGTTCTCGCAGCGACACAAACAAAAAGTCGATAGCAGACTTGACAGTGAAAATGTATTGGGGTAAGTCGACGCTTACTGGCAGTTTGGGATGTTTAGAGTTGGCGGTCAAAGTTTGATAGTAAAGTGTAGTTAATAGTATTGAAACTTTAAACGTTTAGGACAGTCATCCACATTTAAAAGTGTTTAGATCAGAAAAAGTCTTCTTTGTTGGAGCTTTGTGAAGAGTTTGAAGTTGTTACTTTGAAATCAACGAACCTTTCTCAAGTGTAGCGTACATTTGTTCAACGTAATTGATTCACATCACGTCCTGTGATTCTTTTACCGTTGTCTCTAAGTCTTATGTATTCTACATACAATTGAAAAGACATCGTGATACCACGTAGCAGGGGAGCTGAAACAAAAGGCCTTGTGATGGTCCCACTCAGTCATACCAGGCTGTGTGTGTGTGTGTGTGTGTGTGTGTGTGTGTGTGTGTGTGTGTGTGTGTGTGTGTGTGTGTTGGTTGAGCAGGGGTATGAGACTGCGGTAAAACAAAGCTGCACTCTGTTCTGTGTGAGAAAAGACGCTAAAGCTCTCCTCCTGCTTCACTGCAGCCCTCATTACAAAAGGCATGACCCCACAAGTCCCGCATCCAGTACAGGTCCGACGGGAGAGGAAGTCTCGATTGTCCGAGCACATTTGGAAAGTCTCGGTGTACCGCTTGATTCAGCAGACCCATGCAGGGAGGCGTCTGTTAATCATGCTATAAAAACACAGGGCTGTAAAAGTCACCGCATCAGAACTCTGCTGACTTTCAGCCGCTGATGAGCCCTCTGTCCTGCTCGCTGAACCAGCGAGGACTTGATAAGTATGCAACCTACACCTGAGTGCTCACTGTGCGTACGGGATCCACACTGCAGACATGTCTTTTTGTTTCATGATAATTTTCTAGGTTTTTATTAGAGCAGCTGGTGAATGACAGGAAAGAGGGGATGACGAGCAGCAAAGGTCAACTTTGTTCACTGCAAATCTTCAACCACATGATTTGAAAATGGGATTGTTTAACTCCGGTTCGGCCATGATGGCTTATTTGCTGATCAACAGAAAATTGATTTGAAAATTTGGATTCATCGTTGGTGTCTCTCCAAAACATTCATTGGTTTGAGCTTCTCGGTTTTTGAGGATTTGCTTTTCTTTGTTTTGTGTGATCATAAATTAAATATCTTTTGGTTTGGGACTGATCGTCAAACAGAACAAGCAATTTGAAGACGTCACCTTCGGTTCTGGGAAATTCTGACCATTTTCTGACATTAAATAGATCAAACGATAAGTTTCTTTTCAAAGTTTTTTTTTTTTTACTTAGCAGTTTAAGTCACATACCGATAACACCGGTTCTATTGTTGCTCAGTTTACAAAGCCAAATGATGTTTTTTAAAAGCATTTCATAACCTCTTTAAATGTATGGTAATAACAGTGACAGCAGTTTCCTTCCAATGTGTGAGAAGACATTTGTTTGCTAATGAGGGAATAGAAAAAACAAAGAGATTGACCGTTGATTCAGATGAGCTGAGAATGAGTACGAAAGATCTGGTCCTACATTAGAAGTAATGGTGGTAGAAATAATGTCAAATGTTGCTTCTGACGACATCTGGCACATATGGAAAAAACAACGTCTTCTTTCCATTTCAGTCTAAAGCAAAAATAAGGTTGTGGAGATAAGGAATGGGTCTGTGGTGTTCAGCATGCGAGTGATGTTTAAGGGGCATACACGTAAGGTAAAACTAAAGGGTTGTGGAGACCATGAAGATGAGGCTGTAAAAGTGGTTCTGAAGAGCAGGCCTTTTGTACGCTTGGCCGCTCCTGGTGCAGCCAGTTTTCTGCAGCTTCTTGCTCCCTGACTGATTTCCTAACTAGTCAGTTGTGTTTTTATGTCTGAAATCTGGAGATATCCGAGCTGGATGATGAAGGGAATCAATGTGTTTAACTACGCCTGTACGCCAGCCAGTAGATGTTAAATCACTCCCCTCTCTTCAGTCCAAAACTCTCCTTTTTGAAAAGAAAGCGGGAAAACAATAAATCCTTACCTCACTTGGGTTTGACTCGTTGGGTTAGAACGAAGCACAGGGAAGAGTGGTTCAACTGGTAGAACATTATCAACCTGTGTGTGAAAGTGTCGACACTTGTAAACAAGAAGTTCTTTGATGGCAATTGTTGAGATTTCAGTCGCCCTCAATGTATTTTCCACGTCTGCCTTTTCCAGCCTCAGTGAGAGCTTCTTCATGGTCAAAGGAGCCGCCCTCTTTCTGCAGCAGGGCGGCAGCGCACAAGGACCAAAGACCCCGACCCACCACAAACATGCAGGTAGGCGCGAACTTGCACAGAAGAAGCTTTTGTTTCTCGCACAAACGAGCTCCAGACAAAAAGGAAAACTGTGTTTGCTGAAATGTGTTTTTCTCTCTGTGGGTTTGTCTGTGTTTATTCTAAACTGTGGTCCGACCTGAAGTGACCGGCAGTTTAGCACAAGGGATGCCCACAAATCAGTTCAAACAAGATCAATCAGTCAGCGTAAAGTTATTTTAAAGCAATACACAGACGGTGTCTGTTCTTTAACTTTTTGAATTCTGGGCACTTGACATTATTTCTTACAGAATCATGCTGCTGATGTTTGTCTGCACATCAAAGTGATGCTAAAATGCAGCATAATCATGCACAATCTAAAATTAAAAGCTCTTTAATAGACGCTCACTGTTTACAAGTTTCTAATCTGACGTCCTTGTTGAGCCTGATGTCATTTGAGGACAAAGGCGGGAGAAGACAGAAGTCTGTTTTGCAGGTGACTCGGGTGTTACTCGCTAGCACTTTAGCTTAGCACAGCTGGAAGGTCGCAGGGTTTACATTTGTCTTCATTGAGTGAAATCCGCGAGCATATTTCCTCCCACTGGAGATGAAAACCCCCCAAATGAATGTACAATAGAATAAGCTGAATGATCAGTTTGTACTTGACCTTTTTAGTTTTTTTTGTTTGTTTTGTCTTTTGTTAGAAATTCCCCAGAGTGTCTCTGCAATGAAGCCTGTCAGCGATTTTTAAAGTGTGCATTTCTCTGTATTGTTAACTCTGAACTTGGTAATATTTTTCAGCTTATTGAAGGCAGTTTTAGTTTCTTACTGAAGGGGTGGGGGAATCATTTTCAAGTCCAGTGTCCAGTTTGAACATCCAGACTGTGACGGTGACCTTAACTCGTCTAATCAAACATGAGAACGAGCTGAACTAAACTATGCTTCTCGTTGTACACTCACTCAGTTAGTAAGTCTCAACGCGTGTTTCACTTGCAGGTGATTTACCTCAACACCTGCAGGTCATGTTTAAGATCCTCCGGTCTGAAGATCGCATTAAGCTGGTCAGTATGATACTTAACACACACACACACACACACACACTTCTTTCTTTTTTGGATCGATTTGTTTGAGTGGGAGCTGTACACTTGAAGCTGTTACAGCACTAGTGTTAAATCCTCTTACTCATTGTGTTGTTTACTCAGGTTTGTTGATTTTCATGCAGTGTTTGCACAATAGTTCCATGACCCCACCAGTAAATCTCTCATGCTCTCCTTCTGTTCCCCAGGCCGTACGGTTAGAGAGCGGCTGGTCAGACCGGGTGCGCTACATGGTCGTCATCTACACCAACGGCCATCAAGATACAGAGGAAAACATCGTCCTGGGGATGGACTTCACAGACAAGGACAGGTAATGAATCTCTCTGCTGTCTCACGTTTTAGTGCCGTTTTATCTGATTTTATTAGATCTGTTCAAATGTTATTCTGAAATCGTTGTGCTCTACAGTAAAAACTGCTCTATTGGGATGGTGCTGCCACTGTGGAGCGATTCCAACATACATTTAGATGGAGATGGGTAAGTTTCAGTTTGTCCTTTTCATAAAAGCTGGAATACGTAAATCAGCTGGTTGAATATTTCTGCTGATATTGAGGTGGGCTTCCAGCTGCATGTTTTTGTTGTTCTCTGCCTGTTAGGTTTTTCTGCCCACCAGTGGCAGAGGAGTGAATTACATGCATTTTTCTGTGTGTGTGTGTGTGTGTGTGTGTGTGTGTGTGTGTGTGTGTGTGTGGTTCTTGCTGACCTGTTAACATTGTCTCTGTATGCTGGAGGAATGTTCCACCGGTCGGTGTCCTGAATAGTCCCCATGGACGAGCCGTGTGCAGTCTGTGTTTACATCCCCCGACAGCTCTCTGCATCTCCACCCAAAACGTGAACTGATCTTCCCTCTCCTCCTCTTCCTCACCAGAGGCTTCAGCGTGAACACGGCAGGGCGATCACATGTCTTCAAGCCTGTATCCGTGCAGGCCATGTGGTGAGTGAATCCTTCGTGTTTACCTGGGATTACCGGCGCGTGGACACGAGGGAAACACGTGTTGGCCATGCTGGATAATTGTTGTTATGGACTCTCACATTGGGTAGATGGAAACATGTGTACCAGACCTCAAGGCATGTTCAGGTTAATTTGAGTTTTCAGATTTTGTGTGCAGTGTAAAGGCACCGAAAAGCTGAGGGTGAGATTAGCCTAGTTAGCTCAATTATGGGGTCAAGTAGCAGCTTCACAAAAAGGTAATAAATAACTGTTAGACTTTGTCCAACATTGAGGCTTTGCACTCGTCACCAGTAACATAAATGAACATAGGTACAAACTACCACCAATTATGTCATACCAATCACACCCATTTATAGAAAAATACACATAAAACATAAGAGATGTGTTCGATTATTGTTTGGTTCTACTATTTCTGTCATCCCTGTATGCATATGGAAATAAGAGTTGGACATTAATATGATTTCTTCGTTTCTGTAATTCTGGGACTTCATGAATATGTAAATGACAACATGTTAATGTGTTTGACTGGCTATCCATCACTGGCGAGGTTAATGGTACAGAAAGTGTTCATTTTCTTGGTTTGGTAAATAACAGAAAACTATAGAGCATTTGACTGTAATTTCCCACTGTGCTCAACACTGTGACCTGTTCCAGCACGACACTACTGTCATCACAGTTTGTTCAAAAACTTCTGGCAGTCTAGCTCGATCCATGTGCCACCTGCTGGTCACTTATCAGAACGACCAATAAACAAGTCTGCCGATGTCTTATTGGCCCTGATTTGTGACAGTGAAGTTATTGCTCCGTGTCTCCGCAGGTCTGCCCTGCAGGTCCTCCACAAGGCGTGCGAGGTGTCGCGCCGCTTCAACTACTTCCAAGGGGGCATTGCTCTCACGTGGATGGCCTTCTATGAGAGCTGCATCACCTCGGAGCAGAGCTGCGTCAATGAGTGGAATGCTATGACCGACCTGGAGACCGCCCGGCCCGACTCGCCCACCATGTTCGTCGACCGGTGAGACCCCACAGGCTGCTCCATGCAACATAACAGTTTACGTTATGAGAACATTTTCCATCCCAGTTTAACGTGATGTAAAACAGAGTACCTCCATATTTGAGAGGATTAATCCATTATCAGAGTAGTTGACATCTATTTTTCTGTCGACCGACTCAATTAGACGACTAATTGTAACGGCTCTACACGTGGCCAAACAGACCAATTGCTGCTGATTTTTTTTTTTTAACATGCATGGTGTGTGTATTGTGTCTTTAGTCATGGAACGGATTTTTAATGCTTTGGACACCAGCTGTTGTCTCTTTTGTCTTCAGCTTGGGGAACATGTTACACTGTTATGCTAATTTCCATTCAGACAGCAACACTGATGTATTGACTCATTATGTGCAGGCCAACTGAGCGAGAGAGGACAGAGTGTCTCATTAAAGCCAAGCTACGCAGCATCATGACGTATCAAGACCTGGAGAACATCACCTCGAAGGAGGTATGTGGCAAATCAACGATGTGTGCGATGGGTCCAGATCTTTCTATAATACTGTACTTAAAGGTTTTAGAAAGAAGACACATCTGATTTTCATGTTTTATTAATGTAGCGTTCATTAGCTGTACACTGTGTTAGTAAAGTAAAGTGCTTCTTGTTCAATCCTCGTCCACAGATCCGTAACAAGCTGGAGCAGCATATGAGCTGTAACCTCACAGAGTACAAAGAGTTCATAGACAACGAGATGCTTTTGATCCTGGGTCAGATGGACAAGCCCACACTCATCCTTGACCATGTGTACTTGGTGAGAATTTCATTTTTGCATTTTGATTTATTTCTTTTATCCTACCTTGAACTGTTTTTATATAATATTTTCTTAACATTTACACCTCGCTAATGCCAACTTACTGTCACACTGTGGTTTATACTTACCTCAGTAAACTTAAGCAATTATCCATTATAAGTTTCCGTCTTTTTGCCTCTGTAGGGCTCCGAGTGGAACGCATCCAACCTGGAAGAACTACGTGACTGCGGGTGAGCTGATAGTGTGCACACCATGCAATCCTGATTTAATCCTACACCTTTTTTTATTCTTATAAAGAAGTAAATAAGCTATACATGTATAATTTTACCTGAAAGTTATCTGTTAATAATTGTGAGGCGAATTGTAAAATTATGCCACGTTAATCTGTTTAAAACACAGGCACATGACTCTGTATGACTTTCAGTTATTATTTAGTCAGTGCAGCAGTGTTAAAGATATTTATGCTGCGTTCAAGGTGCACAATGCCAAATGTAAACAAAAAACATGGCTGACTGTGTCAAACTGATATTCCTTTGGCAAGTGTACACACAATTAGACGCTCAGCAGTGCAGCCTCCACAGTTTTTGGGACATTTTTTAAATTTTCCTGAATAAAAGTTGATGGACAACCGCTTCTTCATGAAGTCGGTGTGGATGTACTTTTTCTAGTCGGAGGTCAGACATTTTCTGTTCCGAGTTGTCTTGAACACAGCGTTAGTCTGATTCCACATGTCCTGAGTAACAGTTAAACTAAAAAGTAGTGTAACGACTAACATGTTATTGTTCTGGTTGCAGAGTGGGTTTCATCCTGAATGTTACCAGAGAGATCGACAACTTCTTCCCGGGGATGTTTTCTTATCACAACATCCGCGTATACGACGAGGATGCTACCGACCTGCTGGCCCACTGGAACGACACCTACAACTTCCTCGTCAAAGCCAAGTAAGACCGTACATGTTAAGATACAGCAGTGGGCTGGTAAGAGTTGTGCAGATCATAAACTGTAAAACCAGATTGTTATCCAAGAATTGTGGAAACAGCAGTCAACAGAACTGTGTCCCCACAGCCCTTTGGTATTTACAGATGTGGCTTTAAGGCATCATTTTTAAGTCGTTACAGTTTGACTGGCTCACATCATGTATTCTCCTTAAGTCCTGGGGCCGTGACCCCACAGGACGCATATTGCTCTCGCCCAAATGCATGACACAGCTGTGAGTAACGTAGACAGAGAGAACTGAAAAGGTGCAATGGTGGAGCGCACCTCATGAAAACCATCGAAACCAAACACAAACAGATTGAACCGAATACTTTTAACGGCTACTACACCGTCCTAACTGTCACCAACTAGATCCATATGAACTAATTATTTTCTGTCCACCAGGAAGAACAACTCCAAGTGCCTGGTGCACTGTAAGATGGGGGTGAGCCGGTCTGCCTCTACAGTTATTGCCTATGCAATGAAGGAGTACGGCTGGTCTCTGGAGAAAGCCTACAACTTTGTCAAGCAGAAACGGAGTATAGCTCAGCCGAACGCTGGTTTCATGAGACAGCTGGCAGAGTACGAGGGAATCCTGGACGCAAGGTAAGCAGGTCTACAGTTTCACTCAGGTTTGCACTTTGCTGCAGTCACCTGCGTGTTTTTCTTTTTTTACTCGGGTGCGGCCAGATACCTCAAGTACACACACCATAAAGCTAATAGCCATTTCACACATCCTGCTGGTATTACAGCTATAATGGTGATTTGCTTTGTGAAGCTTTCTGTTTTTTCCTCACATGTAAACAAAAGCATATTTGCCTTCACAGTAAACATCGCCACAACAAGCTGTGGAGGCCTGAAAGCGATAAGGAGGGATCAGATGATTTGCAAGCCTCTGGCCACTGTACTGGTGGGGAGGAGACACCAGTGCTCAGAGGGGAAGAAGCCCTGGGAGGCTGCGGGGCCTCTCCGTGCAGGGTTATGGGTCTGGAGATGGAGCCCCTTGACTCTCTTAACTATAACTATTACTTCAGACGTTTGTCAGACTCTGCATTAGACAGTGAGCCCTCCACTCCAGTGCGGGGCCCCCCTCTGGTAGGTATGGAAAGAGTTTTCATTGAGATCGAAGACGTGGAGAGGGATGCCCTATTGGAGGACGAGGGTTTCCCCATGGCCCATTTAGCCCTGCCTGGCGAGGGCACGGCAGCTCAGACGTGCGGCCGCCTCGACCCCCTGGAGGACATGAGACTGAGGCTGGAGATCAGTACTTTGGAGGAGGAGGATGAGGAGGAGGCCAAGAAAGAGGAAGCTGAGATGGCGGCCCTGGCTCAGACACCTGGGAATTCCGATGGGAAGAGGCCAGGGGAGGATGCTGAGAGGACGGAGGAGAGCCGGTTAGGCCTGGCCAACCTGAACACCAACAACAGCAACCGCATGGCTGCCAAGCGCAGCTGCCCTGCAGCTTTTGACGTGAGTTAAGAAAATATCACTTTTTTAATTGTAGTCATGTTTTGACTTAAAATACCTTTTTTTTTTTTTAAACAGACTTCATATTTATTTAAATATTCTGCATGCCACTGACCATATACTGTGTTTGTATGTTACTCCATTTAGGACAGTGGTAGCACAGGAAACCCTTTAAAAGTGAAGCCCTCGTATCAGTCCTGTAAATACTGCCTCCGTCTACCACAAGTGCGGCGCTGTGACCGTCCAGCAGGAGGCCGTTCTCACCGCCTTAACCCCTCCCGCCACTGCACTATCCCCACCATATGCATAGATCCGCCCGGGACCAATTTTGCCTCCGCCCCAATTCTGCAGTCTCTGCAAGCCCCCATTGTTGTCCCACCCAACTTGATCCAGCCCTCCAGTCATCTGTACCGCTGCTCCACCTGCACCCCCGGTGTCCCACTAACCAACCGCCCCAAACCGGTCTCACCCATGAGCTGCGAGGAGACTCCTCCTGGCCGCGGCTTGGTGGACACAGAGGACATGGACGAACCACAGGGGGACGACATGGGGGAAGGAATATCAAGGGATGGTACGGGGGCCATCAGTGTGGCTCCCGCTGAATGTTTAGAACTACAACCTGGTGGTGCCATGGAGCTCCAGCAGCAGGCTCTGGCCCAGCTGCAAATGCCGGGACTGGGGTTAGAATTTGGTCTGCAACTGATGCGACAGAGGGCGGAGCAGCTCGAGAAGCTGCCAAGCTTGGCCATGGAGGGCCAGCTCCCAGTGGGGCCCCTGCCTTAATACAGTAACCCTTACATGGATGAGATGGAGGAGGAGGTTGGCCACTGCCTTCAGCAGGAACCCTATGACGGCTGTGGGCCTTTTTTAGATGACTACCGCTGTGGTGTCGTACCAGAAACGAAGCTCTGCTTTGACCTGAACTGTCATGTCCTGGCCTCATAGCTGCACTGTCACAAGCTGCAAACAGCCCTCTCTGTATTTCCAGAGAGTATTCTGTCATTGTCTCCTGGCACTAAGATCCAGATGAGGCTGGTTGTTTTGACCATTCGCTGAAGGCTTGAGTGCTTCTGGCCAGGTAAGGACTGAAGACTTTCCCTGTGTCCTTCCACTTGTCCCTCAGACCGGATGGAGGCTCACCTGGTCTCTTCTGAGCCTGCTGGCCCCACACCACATACAGGATCATCACACCTCCCCACAGCCCAGTGGAGATGAGCGTTATGCTGCCGTATTTACCCTCAACAGACTTGGCATATTCCAGAGGCGGCGGCGGCGGCGGTGGTGGTTGTTTGTTTTTAACTCCTCAGAAAGCTATAACGAGCACTTTGGTGTCGATGGAAAGAAAAATACCTGAAGTTACCTGCTTCTTTCAGTGTACTGTATGTTTTTTCAATCCAAGTCATCAACGGCATTCATGAAGGAGCTCGATGAATGTTTGCAGTTGCCCCATTTTGATTGCGTTCAGCATCTCCTCATGTTACCGCTGATAGCCGAATCCACTCTTACGTTCCCTGCTGCAGCTGCTTTTGCATCAAGAAAGGGCATTTCATGTGGAAGCATAATCATTTTGAGAAAAGGATGTGAGCCTTTTTATGCCTCTTTGTAAGGTGTTGTACCTCGGACCACAAGCATCTCGAACTGTTTAGGTCAAAGACTCTTTTGTTGTCTCTGCACAGTGGCTGGTTCACCCTGACCTCCATTAAAGTCAATGTAATCATGTACTTAAAGCACTCACTTTAGCCCCACGCATGACTTTGCAGTATTACAAAAACATATTGTCGACACACTTGGGCAGAAAACATATTATTTTAGGACTGAAATGCATTCAGATTTGTCATTATCTAGTTTTAAGTGACAACAATCATGTGTCAGTTGGATCATGAATTGTTTAAAGTGAACCTAACCCCCTCGTCTTATGCCTGAAAGAAGAAAGAGACTGAAGAAAAACTTTCAGTTGTTGGGAGACACATTCAGGAGCTCAAACGTGATTTTATTCTCCACTCTTGTTCTGATCGCTTCCTGATGTAACCAAAGCCATATGATTTTTGCCTGGGACGGTAAATCCCCGTCATGATTTAAATTCTTCTTTTACTTTCTTACCGAGTCTACATCCGGGTCCTCCTTTATCTCAGGAGGCTCCCAGGCAAACGCGCCTCACTCGGCTAACTTTCCCATCACCTTTCCCTAAACCCACGAACATCTGCGAAGACGCACCAATCATGTATAGATTTAGCACTTGAGCACAACTTTAGTATCCATTCACACAGTGCACACATCTCAGATCTGTAGCCACGTTTAATCAAACTCATTTGAGAACACTGAAGCAGAAATCAGACGCGGTTCCATTCTTTGCTTGCAGTGTCCATACGTGTGGGTGTCATTTATTTGATCTAATAACTATTATTTTATTATTATCATTATTAGAATTCTGACTTTGAAATTACCAAATAAAATATTTCTATTTACAGTGTGAAAATTTGAAATTATAATCTGAAGTTACAATACTAGATTTTCCTTTATTTTAAATACAGCTTAGTAACTATGTAGAAAACTGCAAAGCCCAGCACTCACAGGTTTTTCATCTCTTCAAGTCTTTTCCTCATTTAGTCCATTTCGTACATGTCGAGACAGCTTGAGGCACGCTTGTGTTCAAATTGTGCCACCAAGCCAAAGTTGCTGTGCCACAGGGTGTTGCTCTACAAGTTGCTCTTCTGTTTGGCTGATGTTGTGTTTTGGCACGCTGGGTGTGCTAGAATGGAATTGAAAGACGGCTGTTTGTATGCAGGAAAAAGCACATGCGAGTGTTTATTACTGTGTTTAAAGATCTGATTGCTTCAGGAGAAATGAAAACTGTGCAAAGAATGAATGCAAGTTATTTAAATCATCTTTTAACCATGGGGTTATTGTGTTTTTATTTATTTATTTGTAGATTCAATATTTCTTTAGTTCGATCAGTAGAAACTTCCATGCATCCTCTGTTTCTTCTCCTCCCTTAATTGGACCCCAGGGAGATGCAGGTTTGCTCCACTAGTTCGATTTAAAGAATTTGGTTTTTGATTTGAAACTGTTCTTTTCCCCCACGTGAGAGCACGATGTAACGTCAGGCACTTCAAAATCTGTTGCCAGCATTTGATACCGCAAACATCTGTAAAAGAAGAATTAAGAAATGTTATAAAGTGGCAACTTGGAGACGAGATTGGTATCTTGTCGCCTAACTCAAGAAAACAAATAAGCGTGTTTCCCAAAATGTTCTCTTCCTTTTTAATGTATTATTAATATGATTCTAATTTCAGCCAGCTGTTATCAGTGTGTTGACGAGTGAGCCTGATCCACGTGCTCGACACTGTGAGCACTAAATCCTTCTGTTTGCGTTCCCAGACCACAGCACTGAGTTGGGTTGTTCGCTTCATGTTTTGAATTTGTGTTTGTATTTAAGTGCCTTAACCTCGGCCTTAGCTCCATCATAAAGTATCACAGGCGTTGCAAGAGTTTCTGTGAGTGTGTTGATGGTCTGGCTTTTTGTACATTACTCACTCCCAATAATAACCATGCTCCCTGCAATGTATAACTCGGCACAAAATAATAATGTATGCAAACACACACGCAAGCTCATGCACAGCAGCCTCCTCCACCCACCCCCCCCACCCCCACCCCCCGAACACACGCATACTTGATGGACTTCCATTTATTAATAGCCTATAATAATATTGTATTTGTTTGATATTGTTGAAACTTGTGGTACACTGTACTGGTTCAAAAGCTGGCTGAGGAACCTTACTTGCTGGAATGAGAACTATCATTTACATTAAAAACATTATAGAAAGGATGGATTTAAGTCTTTGAAATTTACCAGTCTGTATATATTTTTCAATTTGCTATAAGTACATTAGCTTGCAGATGTGGTCAATATTAAGAAAAGCACTGATAATGCTACTGTGTATTGAGAAGTACTCATAATTAAGTTCTCGTGTTTGTACCACAGCAAAAAAAAAAAAAAAAGACTTTGGGCGATTTAGGCAAATGTCTTCAGGCTCCATTAAAAATGGCAACAATTTAATTTTTTTTTTATTGCATTATTCCCAGGCAGCAGGCATCACACTGACAATCCTACTTAAGACCCAGACGTTGAGGACTTTGTGTGGAAGGATATTAAGACATATTGCAATTCAAAAGGGGGATCCAGGCATTTATAGAGTGTATTTATAGAGCACAAGTCTGCCCCAAAGCATGCGAGGTTGAGACGAGTGGAAAACGTAGAACACGATAAACCTTCCTGGGAGTAAGATTTTGTTACGTTTATTGTTTTTCGTTAACTTTTGTGTACTGTACTGTACATTGCCAATGTTCATGTGTAATGCACTTTTTTTTTTTTTTTTACATTTTGTTAAAATGATGTCCAGTCTAATGTTTATCATGGAAATAAACCATTTCCTCTGCATAATCTATTTATTCAGTGAAGTTGATCTGCTGTGCTTGCAGCTCACCACACTGTTTTCATTGTATTTACACATTTTGGTGAAGAAAAAAAAAATCTACTTTCCCCGCAGAATCGCAACATTTTTACAACTTTGTCGTATACCGTCATTGCAATATATTGTACATCTATAATCATATGTTCACCTCGGTCTGCCTTTGGCCTTTGCCTGCTCTGAAATGGGCAGAGAGCTATCTTATTGAATTAGTCAAATGAAGTCAGTGTGACATCATGGGGCAGGTGACGGCTGAAGAAGAAGATCTCCCCAAAAGACGAAAGTCCTACAGGACGACAGGCAGGCAGAGCATCAGTCTCCGTAAGTATTTACCTATAATCTGTGATGGTTTTATGTCGGTGTAACTATGCAGTTTATTAGATAACTTACAAAACGGTAGTTAAGTTGTTTGAATGGAAGTATTGTCCTAGTAAATGCTACAGTAAATGGTCGGTTAACATTTTCTACCTCAACGACAGAAGAATCTTCATTTCGTTGCCTGTATTGTAAATGTCCTATGGTTATGTAAAAAGCTTATTATGCACCGGTACACGGCAGCACATCTATCATTTTATGACGTTTGAAGTCCTGCCTTGTAGAATGCTGGAAAACATTTTACTGCCAAACTAGATAATGTGTCTGAATATGATCCTGCCGTACTGCCTATTTGAATTTGAGCTCATTATATGTACACCGGTGCACTTAATGCTCTAAAGGAAGGGCACAGTATTCTGTTGGGGAGAAGAAGAAAAAACTCTATCTGGAGCCCGTGCTAATAGTTTGTGTACTCAAAGTCACAAGTCTCTTATAAACTTTGTGCATGAGAGATACGAGGGAGTTTCAAAAGACCAGAGCTGGAGTTCGACAATGTCAGCTGGTTAAAGAGGAAAGCTCTAATGCAACTAAGGGAAGCAGGTGAGGGACAGTATGTGCCACCAAATCACTACATCAATATAATTCAGTCCATATGTTAAAGACTCAAAGGATTCAAAACTGAGCTCTGGATCAACTTCAAACTTCAGTATTTATGAAAACTAGAAATTCTACTCATGTGAATCCATTATGTGGAGCAAATGTTCTGACATTTTGTTTGTCCCACAGCCCAATTTATAATTTATCCACTCCTGCTTCAGTTGTTTATCCTCTTTTTTTTCCTAACTAGTTTTCATGTACTCTCAACATGTGGTGTTCAGGTGTTACAGCTGTCTCTATGTTGGTGTATTTAAATGATTTGAGCTACTCCATAATCTTTCCACTTTCAAGTACCCTGAGTTGGGAATCACAGGTGTAAACAAGAGGAACCATAATTTATAGTCGAGCTTCAAGGGGGATAGTTTTATTTACGTTCTGTGGACAAGCACGTTGGTTAAATAGACGGGCTTGAAAGACGTAAAGTGTCACTCAACGCCTCTCCGGCTTGAAATAGCTTAAGCAGCGGATCACGTGATTGCAGATGCAGGGTGAAGAGGTTCAGTCACCTCTCCTTCCTCACCGTTCAGCCAACGACGTCAAAGGACATTAGCTCAGCATTTCGTCTGATTCTAAATGATGTTCATGGAAAACATCCCTGATGCTACAATACTTCTGCACATTCAGTTGTTTGTGATCTAAAAATACTCCACATGCCACTTTAAAGTCTGTTGAGCTATTTTCCCTTTGCAATAATCTCTCGTCCACCTTCCAACATGTCGGTGGTGGTTAAACTCTGCTCTCGACCAATTCGGATCAGAAGTCAAAGCACTTGTGACTTGAATCACGTAGTCCAGGTGACCTTTCTCTAGACCCCCGTAACCAAAACAACCATAAACATTCAGCTGGTTTGAAGGGAAAGCACAAACACGCCTTGTCTCCAAACCAGTAATTGACAGTGCATGATGTCCCAACACTGTGCTGCCTCTGGTAGACATGTGTACAGAATTATTATTAGACGAGTTAGATAAAAATAAGGTTTTGCTATAATTCAAGACTTGTTAATTTGGTTTCAGAGAGCATCTAAATGATTTATAATTTATGTCTTGGCAGCATTTTATTAGTTCACATTGACCTTGGCACCTGGCAGCTGACCTCTTATCTCACTTGTCTTGTTTCCTTTTTGGCCTCCTGACTCAGTGGCAGCAGTCAGACCAGCTTTAATTATAGCCGCCACAGCATTCCTTTCCTACAGAATGGGGGGAGATAGATAGAGAGGTCATGGAAGGGCATGTATGATCAGAATAGAAGAATATACCAAAATAGAGAGGGGTTCAAGATGATTCAAAATAGAGTTTTCCTCTCATTGGGATGTGGAGGCAAGCCATCCACATTACAATATTGTCTTGACATTTGTCTCTCTCTTTTCTAATGATAAGACAGAACAACAACCATGGGCCAGAAGCTGGAGAAGCTGTCTGAAAAGGATGAAGAGTCGCTTGATAACTCCGATTGGTCGGGGCAAACTGAAGAGACCGACCAGTCGGAGACGGCACAACAAGATGAGAGCGGAGACGATGGCAGTTTTGTGACCCCTCAGGGTATTGGTTGGATTAGCGGGATCAGTGTCGGCGTCGCGTCCAGTGGGCTCACAGTCACTTCTGCATGTACAGACCCCCAAACTGGGCAGCCAATCAGGCCTTTAGGTCAGTGGAAGCAACCTCTGAACACCGGGGGAGTGTGGGTGGGTGGAGACGGGGCGAGCCGGAGTGTCGCTCGAACAGCAGAGGAGTCAAAAGCTGCCCTGAGCCCTAAGGAGACAAGACCGACTTCAAACAAAAGACGAGGCTCTGAGAGTATGGCTGTGGTCTATACTGAGACTACAGCTATGGAGGAGCAGGGAAAAGGGAAGAAATCAGATCTTGGTCGTAGCAAGTTAGGTCCTGACATTCAAACCAGGAGTCTAACCTCCTCATTAAATCCCAGTAATGAGGAGGACTTTGTGGTGCTCGAGAAGGACGAGTCTTGGGTGTCATCTGATGGGGACATCACTTTTGGCAAAAGGATAAAGACAGATAATCTTCAGTCCCCTATAAAAAGAAGAGTTGAGGAAGACGCTTCAGCTACTGGCGTTAACCTTCCACAAGCTTCCAGGAATGCTGTTCAAGAAAAGGGTAATGAGAAGAAAAGCAGGAAGAGATCAGACACACTTCCAGTCGCGACTGACGGCGTGGAAGCGCATGCTGAGAGTTCACCCGAAGCCTGTTTTGAGAGGGAAATGGGTCAACACTTGGCTGAAGTGACAGGCAGCAGGTGTCGGCTAAAAGGAGTCAGTCATGTTGGAGCTGTCCACGCTGGGACAACTGGGAGAGGAAGAGCAGAGAGGGAGCGAAACATGAACGACCACAGCGAGGGGCAAGTTTCTAACATTAGCAAAGAGCACCTGTCAACACAAAACAACAGCGGCTTTGTGAAAAGATCAAGAAAGAGCAGTGAGGAATTAGAAGACATGCTTGACGAAGCAGGCCAGCTCATTCTACATGATAAAGAAAGCCATGGTTCAGAATGTGTTGCACAAAAAACACAAGTGGGAGCGGATCAGGCCCATCAGAGCAAGTTTGCTGGTGCTGTCTCTGTGAGGGCTAAAGCAGGTGGTTTGTGTACCAAGAAAGAGGACAGCGGAGTGTTGTGCAAAGCAGCCGAGCCCCCGAGCTCTGAAACACCACCACTACACGACAATCACTCACTTTCATTGGAACAGTGCAATTCAATCCCTCGTCCTCCTCTGCCAGAGGATGAAGGCTGTGATGGAAAGATACAGGTTGCGAGCTTAAAGAGGGAGCGCAAGCTCGTTTGCTTCTCTGCTGTCATCACCCCACCACCTTTAACTCATCTGTTGCCTAAGAGAGACGCATCCATGCCGACGCAACTCGGTACAAGCGTGATGAAATCACAAACGGTGCCAGACGCCTCGTGTGATTCTAAAGATGAATCCATGCCAAAAGAAAAGCCCAAAGTTAAAGGTCCACCTCCGCCTGTCCCCAAAAAACCTAAAAACCCGTTTATAAAGCTCAAAACTGCACAATTAAGGTCTACTGATGTGCAAAGAAGAGGCAAAGATCATCCGTGTTCTGAGGAGAGGGTCAAGAGGAGACACACTTTTGATTTCTACAAAGATCTTCCGAGTAACACCGCAACTAATCAGGACATGTGCTCTCTGTGGGACAAAAGGGGCCCTCATGTGGCGCCGACGAACATTCGGCGGCTGTCGGTTGACCTCAGCCCCTGGGAACAACTTTCGCTCGGACACATGGATGATCAGTACGGAGACATGGTCGACTTTGACTACTGCGTGCGTATGGAAGATCTGTCTCCAGAGGAAGAGCCGCCAAACTTGGACATGTTGCAGAGAAGAGTATTCCTGGAGAGACGATCCAGATTTAAAAGCTCGCCACCTCCTGTAGCGGAAAAGCCCCCAAATCGGGTTGCATCCACAGAGACTCTCCACATACCTGAGGTCACATCATACAATGAAATCCGAAGATCAAAACCTGCTTATTCAGGGGAAAAAGAAATTTACCCTGAGCTCCGATCTGAAAGAGTCAGCAATGATGACTACGGTAACTGTGGTACGCGTAGAGACAACCACAGTCGAGATAGGGATGCAGGAAATAACAGTGAGGTGGGTTCGTACAAGCCCGTGGCGAAAATCATCAAAGAAACTAATCAAATGCAGAGACATCAATCCCGGGTCAAACCTGAAGGGGCCAAAGCTTCGGTTCGGGTGGCAGAGGAGGGTCCCAGTGTGAAAGTATCCCAAATGAAGAATGCTTTTGATGTCCCAAAGAAATCCAAAGAGAGACCACAGGAAGCTCAACAATGTCCAAAGAAAGGTAAAGACTTTGCAATGTCAATGTTGGAGACATCGGTTCTGTCTTTTTTTTTTTAATAGTTTATCAAAAGTATTTATACACACAAAGCGCATGATGTGTGTTATATTAGGACGAGAGGGTACTTTCCAAACTGCATACCACAGACTGTCATGAGAAAAACACTTCACTTTATATTTCAAGGTACAACTTGACTTGAGGGATTGAAAACACTTCTCTATATGAAGCCAATTAAAAACAAATTTGTCACAATAAGAATACATTTATTGGGAAGATTATATAATATATATTCATGTAGAGAATGTAGAAAGACATTTTGAAGATAAAATCAGGTAGATTTTAAATAGATAATATAAATAATACGCAAAAATCTGATTTAAAGCGCCACGTCAATATTTCTAAACTTTATATTAATAATGGCTCCCCTCAACTCTTAAAAGATTTTCAGCTCATTGTTTTGATTTTCCATCAAATCAGCTGATGTATTCATGCTCTGCCAGTGATGTACTAACAGGATCCACAACATTTTAACTTTTAAGCCTAATTCCATCAAGAGTCTTGTTTTTCTTGTCTGGGTGGGAGAGTAATTCGATATGAAACAAAGCAAGGTTTCCCCAAACAACATTTTCACATGGTCTGAACTGTGACTCAGTATCATTTACATGGTTATTAAGACAAAGAAAGAAATCCACATTTCCTCTCTCATCCTGTCGTGTAGTCAATCAGTTGACTAAATTATGAAAGTTCTCCTTGACCTTGATGAAGACTATGATGCGGTTGAAAGCCCTGGAAAATAAATGTAAGTCTCTCTTGAGTTGGGATTGTTTTGCAAAACTACTATTTCCGAGGATAACAATGCTTGTCTCATTCATTTTGACGTTCAACAGACATATTCAGATTCCACAGACAGCAATTTTGATGAGTTGGACTTTGTAAGAAGGGCTAGATAATTAAATATATTTAGTTAGCATCAAAAACAGAATAACAATTTAAAAAACCCCTGCAATTAATCAACCCTGAGGACTGCAAATATGTTCTGTGAAAACATTGATGAAAGATGTGAAAAGATTCCCCTGAATATGTGATGTGTGGGTGCATTACAGACTATGGGGGTTTATTTTATGTGTTCGGGCAGTTGCAGACTGGGCGGGATTGGATGGAACTGGGGGGGAGGGGAGGGACCTTGATACAAACGATGCTGCTGCCAGTTAAAATCCCCATTTTTGCATCGCTGAACAAAAATGCATTCATTCAGTAGGTCTACTCCAAATGACACGAGGAGGATGTAGCGAGGAACCCAGTTTTTTCCTGCAGCCCCATCCCCATTCACAGCCTTAGCAAATCTTGTCATTTGCGCATGTGCCGTAGCCTCTCGTCAACGTACCCCCATTGAACTTAATAACGATGAGAGTAGACGATTGCTAGTCTTCCGCAGGTGAGGAGCGGACAGGAGATGCTCCATTTGTCAACCGGCATTTAGAAATACTCATAGATTTAAAGCACTTTCCTCCGGGCCACATATTTGCAAGTCGGGAGTAGACGGACACTAGATCAACGTCCTGCAGGACAAGGGCGCGCCTAAACCACCAGACTCATGTGTTGTGATTGATTACCCCCGTGCTTACGAAAATCTTGCATAGAGTTAGGAGGTAAGGAAATCCTGAAAAAGTCTCTCTGCATTGTGTATTTTGCATGTGATCTGTCGGTCGGTGGCGGTGCAGCATCCATTTAACTCGCTGGATGGGTTGGAGAATGGGAGCAGCCCAAAAACGTTGGGTGGAAATATCTGCACTTGCGTCAGCTGGCTGTGGTCCACCGCAGCTAACAGCTAGCAGCTAGGCGGCTATGCTACCGAGCTAACTGATGAGCGGTTCGGATGCAAAACACACTCAAAGGCTACTGGAGTCCTCATACACATATTGCACATTTTAGACTGTGCAGAAAGCTCTGTATGAGCACAATGCAGGAGTCACATGGCTGCTTGTGTAATTGTTTTTTTTTTTTAAATCACTCTCATCAGGTGTCCTCCCCCTTGTCTGTAACGTCTCTGAGCATCAGCGGCTGTTCAGACGGGACCAGCCGGCACAGCTGCCGAGGCAGGGCGGCGGAACACGGTCCACAATGGTCCTCGCTGGCTTTAACGTCAAACTTTACTTATACTATTAATTTAATTAATCTAGTGGTTTCAATAAATCATGCTTTGTTTCGCTCTCAAGTGGTAGTCACATCTGGAGCGTAACGTTACTCACTAAAATACAAACCTCCATACTCCATCCACCCCCTTGTTTCAGGGACGGTGTCGTTAGCGTAGCTAGCTTAAGTTATCTAAAAGCGTTAACGACTTGGTTTGAAATTACTGGCAAAGTTTAAAAATCACAACTAAGCAGAGTCTCGTCGCCATGTTAATGTGTTATTTATAGCTACTTCTTTCAATGGGGAGGAGGGTACACACCGTGCTTTGTGTTCACATCGGCTAACGTTAGCTAGCAACCATTGTTTAACGTTAGCGCAGTGTAGCTGTAGCATTGACTCATTTGCTATATTCGGCATAGACCTTCAAAAATATCAACATGCCCGTATTATAACAAGCTTAGGTTGAAGTGATGGAGATTGCATCTGTGGTTGTAGTCCACCCATTTAGTCCAAGACACAGTGGAATAGCAGACAGGGAGGCCAGACTCCTGCAGGGCTGCTGGTTACATTTGTATTAATGCCAGAGACATTCTTCTTCACCTTCTACTCCTGGATAATAATATCATAGGATTAGTCTGTAACTGCTGCAACAAGACCGTGTCCACCAGCATGATGCTCAGTAATTTCCTGTGTCAGGTGGTGACATGGTGGCAAAGAGCAACACGCTGTGTGCATGACATCAACTGAAGCCTGCAGGGGCTGAAGCAGCACATTGTAGTCGGATGCATATTTGGAGTAGCTGCTCTTCAATGATATTGGCTGAGGGAACGCGCTGTTCTGGTCTGCCGTAAACTGTATAGTCCTCTGCTATCCAGGCTTTATGCTGCCCTGCAGCAACGTATTCACTGTTCACTGCTCTGTGGGACATTGTGCTGTGAACCAACTACATCCAGGGCGAGTGTTTGATTCATAAAAAGGGTCTAGTGATCCACCTTATATCTCAGACTAAGGTGAAAATAGTTACAGATACACATGTACAGTACGGGTATGGTGTGTGTGTGTGTGTGTGTGTGTGTGTGTGTGTGTGTGTGTGTGTG